CATTGTACAACATGGGTGCACTTATCTACATGCAGGCAATACACGCATACACATAAAATAAAAATAATAAAATATAAAAAAAACAAAACAATATCGCAGATTTTTTAGTTCAGGAACTGGCAAACCTCTGTGTATGGATGGGTGGTATTTTAGACTGCACACAATATGGTCTCTGTTTCAGTCAATAATCTCTGTTGGAGTCTTTGAATTACAGTGAAAATTCAATATGGTAGAAATATGGTTGATGGCATTGAAGGTGATTAGACAAGAGTTTGAGGCCTCGCCCTACCACAGACCATCATTGTCATTGACTTAATATTCTCTTTTTAATAAATATTTTATTTATTATTTTTGTTTTATGTGTATGAGTATATTACCTGTATGTATGCAAGTGCACCCGTGTCATGCAATATCTACAGAGGTAAGGACAGGCATCTGTTCTCCTGGAACTGGAATTAAGTACAGTTGATAGCCTCCTTGTGGGTGCTGGGAATCAAACCCAGGGCCTTGCAAGAGCAGTCAGTGCTCTTACCTGCTGAATCATCTCTCCAGTTCCAAGATTTAATATTTTTTAAGCTTCAGTTTATTATATAATAGGAATAACACCTACTTCACAAAATTACTGTTTTTACATGGAGTAATATACTTGTATATATAAATTATTTTTGTAGCACATCTGATTTATAACAAATATGACATAAAATACAATAAAACATAAGGTCATATGATTATGATCCTGCTCTGATGGTCTGATTATCACACATATTTATGGATAACACTGAGTGTCTTTACCAGATCTCAAGGAAATCACCCATATTTTCATTTTTTATTAGTTGAGCACAGATCTCCTTTAAAACACAAGTATAGAAGCTGGAGAGATGACTCTGTGGTTAAGAGTACTTACTGCTTTTGCAGAGGACCCAGGTTCAGTTCCCAGCACCCATGTGGTGATTCATAACTACCTGTAACTTCAGTCCCAGCATATTTGACACCCTCTTCTGATCTTTGCATGCTCCTGCATGCACTTGATACACATAAATTCACATAGGCACACACATGTAAATCAATCAATTAATCAGCCAATCTTTTTAAAAATACAAGTATAAACAAGATGATGAACTTCTTTGATCATGCCCCGCATACAATTCTTTCTTTTTGGATATTCTTCATGCCTTTTATTGATAAACAGAAAAGCTATTATCTGTACAAATTAAATTGTAAGTAAAGAGATTCTGCATTGAGCTGTTATAGAACAAAAAGAATTTATGAAGTCCACCTTATGATGAATCATAGCAGTGAAACTTCCTCCTGAGAGTAAAGCATTCTACCCCCTATGTCCACAGAATTTAGAATAACTGAGAACCAGTACATTCAGAGAAGCCATGGAAAATAGCTTATGTTAAATGACTAATCATTTGTTCAAAGCCAGTCATATTCTGACCTCAATTCATCTTTATAGGTTTATTCTGATAATGCTTTGGCCATAAATTTTTAACT